GAGGGGCGGTGAGCGGCGGGCCAGCGAACCAATGGGCGCGGGCTGGTTGCGCGGCGCGGCGCGGGGGCGGGCCGAGGCGGCCTGGGGGCGGGGCCTGAAGCCGGGCTCCCCTCGCCGGGGGCCGGTGGCGGTCCCCGGCTTCCGGCTGCGCGGCCCGCGGGCCGGCCCCCTCCCCGCCCCGGGGCCCCTCCCAGCCTGGTTGTGTAACCGTCCCCAGCCCCCCTCCCCTCGGCCCCCCGCCCCGGGGGGGGGGGGTCACCCACCCGGCGCTCCCCGGGGAGGGCGGCGGCCCGAGCGGCCGCGCGGCGCAAGCGAGCCCGGGGATGCGCGGCCTAGTGCAGGCCGGGCTCGGGCGTGGGGGAGGCGGGCGGGCGGACCCAGATCCGGGGTAATTTGCATCGCCCTCCCCCCAGCCCGGGTGGGGATTGGCCGCCGGCGGCGGGGGGTGGCGCGGGGCCAGGCTCACTGCCGCCTCCCGGCCCCTCGGAGGGAGCCAGCCCAGCCGCAGCCGCCGCCACCGCCGCCGCCGGGGCCGGGCCCCCTCGCCGCTGCCCCGGGAAGGAGGTAGGAGCCCCCCGCGCGGGCGGCGCGGCGGGGGCCCGCGGGCCGGGGCGGGGGCCGCGCGCTGCGGCCGGGGCGGGGGAGGGGGCCGCTTCCTGCCCCCGCCCCGGCCTGACTCAGCCTTGGGTGGGGGGACCGGCTTGGCCCCTTGCCCCGCCCGCGCGCGGCCGCGCGGCTCCGGCCCCCGAGGAGGGGGCGGAGAGCACCCCTGGTCCCCCGCCCGCGCCCCCAAAGCGCGTGACCCCGTCTCCTCTGGCCCGGACCCCCCTCCTTCCCCTTGACGCCACCACCACGTGCGAACGCTGAGCCCCGGCAGAGGAGGGGGTGAGCTGGTGGGATCCGGCCCCCTCCCTCGCTCTTCCTCCCTCCCTGGCTTGGGAACCAGCTCCCTCCCCCGGCCCCAGGCCTGGGAACCAGGCAGGGGCCTGAGCTGAGCGCTGGGGACGGTGCACCCCCAGGCACAGGCCTTTGCGGGTTCTGGGAGGCACTGCCCGCGCTGGCTGGCTGCGGGGGAGCCCGGTGGACCGCAGCAAGAGACTGCTGTCCAACCAGGCCGGGGCACCTAGTGGGCGCCCAGGAAATGTTTGGGAAATGCAGCCCGCAGTGGAGTGAGCGGCAGGGGGAGGTCGACAACTAGCCTCTCTCTCTCTCTCTCTCTCCCCCTAGCCAGGCGACGGAAGTGAGAGAGGTGTTGGTGCCCCTTCCCTGGCTGTGCCCACCTGGTTCACCCATGGGTGGCAGGCTTGGTTTACTCCCCCCTCCTCACTGCCAGCTGCCTCCGGGAGCAGGGCTGGCTGGAGAGGGCATCCGGGATTCCATGTCAGCCCCCCCCACCCCACAACAGGGCCAGGGCGTAACCCTGAGTGTGCCGCTCCCTCACTGCGGGGGCCCTCCGCACGACCCGCCGATCACTTCCTATTGGCAGAGCTGGTCTTGGGAGAGGTCCGGGGAGTCCAGGCTGGGCCCTCCTGCTGCCGGCGGAGGGCTCCAGGCAGGGGGCATTTCCCCTGGGGCCACCCCCCAGTGGGGCCCCTGGAGCACACCGGGCCTGGCACTTGTCGGCTGGGCTCGGGGCTCTGTTTACTGCCAGCCATCGCTGTGGCGACGGGAGCCTAGGGGAGAAGGGGGGGCAGGAGCCGGTGACTGGGAGAGCGAAGCCCTGGGATCCGCATGCCTAATGAAGGAAAGAGGAGCCAACGGGGACACTGAAATTTTAATTCGTGGGTCACTTTGGGGGGGTATTTATTATTTAGCTCTGATTGGCTGCGTGGTGGCCAGTCAGCACCCTGGCCCGGGCCGGGAGCCACGAAACTCTCCACGCTCGCGGGCCCCGGGAGAAGCAGTGTTAGGGCTGCGGTGGGGAGCTGGTGTGCCCTTTTCTCCGTGTGGGATACTGAGGCCCGCAGAGCTCAGCTTCCGTCCAGCAGGGCAGGCTCCCGAGGCAGTAGCAAGCACCTGTGTTTGCTTTTTTCCTTGCTTTCTCTTCCTCGGGGCCCTCTGACCCACGGCTGCTTCAGGCTGGTGGCAACTCCCCCCCCCCCCCCCCCCCCCGCCACCCGCCTGGCCGCCATTGCCTTAGGAGGAAACCAAGGCAGGGAGAGGACCCTGGCGAGGGGGGCTTACAGCAGCCTTGGGAGCCTGTGGGAGCCTGTGTCGTGGTCAGGGGGGTGGGGACCAGGGCTCAGGGGCAAGCAGAGAGCAGCCCAAGGTCACCTCGCTGGAGCAGGGTCTGTCCACTGTGGTCCTGCCTCCCAGCTCAGGATGAGGCCCAATCTTCCTTCCTCTCAGTGGAGGGGCGCCCACACCCCTGTCTTCCAGAGGGCCTGGGAGTTGAGAGCAGGCGTCTGGAGGCCAAATGGAGCTTTCTTGGGACTCTCGAACCCCTTTGCACAAAGAGGACAGTGAGACTCAGAGAGGGCCAGCGAGGTGCCCAAGGTCACACAGCACAAACCCCTGACCTCTCACCTCCCAGTCTTTTCTTGCCGGCCCTTTTACGACTTGCTGAGGCCTTTCCCACCTCCTTGGAGCCACAGTCCCGCACCTTGGCACCTTGGCCCCTGAAGACGGGCAGGGCTCTGGGTTTTATGACCCATTATACCCAAGATGACTGAGGTCACCTCGAAAAAGCCGAGTCTTGGGGCCGGCTGCTCTGCAGCAGAGCTGGCCCAGATCTGCGGGGGTTTCGAATGACGTCCTACGGGCCTTTCTGTGACGTCGGACAAGCCCCTCAGCCTTTCGGAGTCTGGATGTCCCCCCTGCCTTGTAAAGTGGTGTTACAGGGTATTCTGCGGTTGGTGGCTGCAGGTCTACCTGTGTTCTCGCTCCTTCCCTCCCCCGTTGAGGGAGCCCCTAGGTCAGTTCAGGGCACCACCTGGATTCTGCTGGAGTGTGTCGCCAGCCCAGCTCTTTGAGACGTGTGGCAGCCCCCACCTGTCTCCTTGTGCTCCAGGCACCTGATGGGCCATAAACCACCCTGCCACAGCCCTGGGCGGTGGGGACCAGAGGAACAGGCTTGGGTGGGGGCCAGGGTGGCCCAGTCCCAGCCTACCCCTTGCCTCACCCAAGGTCTACCTGGGGAGGTCATTACCCCTCTGTCCACCTCAGTCTTGCCGTCAGCCCGAGTCTCTGGGCCTGAGGGTTTGGTCAGTGATTCCCAGGGAGCGTCAAGGCCTGGGAGAACCCCTCCTGCATCCTTCTCCTGAGGACCAGGGCTCCGGACTCCAGGCCTGCCCCAGGCTCCCCGTGTGACCTCCGGCAAACCTGTCCCTCTCCTGGGCTATCACAAGGCAGTGCTGAGGGGGCGTGAGAATAAGCTGTCCTCGGCCCCAAGGCCCCCAGGGGAGGGGGATTTAGTCCCTTGCTGGTGCCCCGGGGGCAGTGTGGAGGGGGGGGCGGAAGGAGCCCTGGCAGGACCAGTTAGACAGTGCAGAGCTCAAAGTCAGCTCTGTCCTGTGACCCTGGGCAAGTCCCTTCCCCTCTCTTGAGCCTCAGTTTCCTGACCTGTAAAGTGGGGCAGTGATTACAGACCCTGTGATGCTTGATTTCGAGATGATTGAGATCAGGCCCCCCACCCCCGCCCCCAAAGCTGTGGAGGAGCAGCTCCTGCCCTTGGGGCCGGAGGCCCGAGTCTGGAGTACCAAAGCGGGAAAGATACCCGCGGAGAATCCGGCGCTTGTGAGGAGCGTGGCCAAAGGACCGGCCCCTCCATCTGTCCCCCCAGCAGGCTGTGAACGGCCACTCAGTGGAAGTGTCCCCACCCACGCCTTTCTGGTTTAACTGGAAAACAAGGCCTGGTCCCACCTCCCATCAGGATGTGTTTGATGGGAGGGAACTTGGCGGCTTTGTGGGCACGGGACACTAGGGCCCCCCAATAGGCTCTGATAGGCCAAGCTCCCTTTTGGGGCTTGGAGGCGGAGCCCTCCGCCTGCCCAGTCTGGGGGCGGGGGTGGGGCTGGTGCAAGCACCTCCTGGTAACAAGCAGGCCTCCGGGGAGGGAGGAAGAGGCTGGAGGTACAGAGGAGTCTGGCTCCTAGAGGCTCCCCAGGCCTCTTCCCGGCCTTTTGTACAAGCAGGTGCAGCCTGAGCAGGGGTGGGGTAGGCAGGGATGGGATTTTGTGAGGCTTGGCTTTACTTACCCTAGGTGATGGGAAGCTCGTTCCTTCTAACACCATGAATGGCCTCTCTCTTCCTGGGGCTTCCTTTTGGAACCCGGTACTGTGTCAGGACTGTCACTTCCTGACCTGTGACGGCACTCAGGAGCGTGGGAACAGGGTGAGCCTCAGCCCCACCCATGAGTTGGGGGTCAGATGGGATCCCCATGACCTTCTCGTCACCCTTCCCCCCCACACACTTCCCACTGGGCCCGCAGCCTTCCTGCCTCTGGCCCTTTAAGACCTGGGCAGGAAGCCCCTCCCCATTTAGGGCAATAATGGACACATAAAATGGCCGAGGGCCTGTTTGCTGGTGTCTGGCCTGGAGGGAGGCCTATGAGGACAGGCAGGCTAGGAGCCTGGCAGCCATGCCAGGCCCTTGGTGCCCCCCACTCCCTAATCGGGACGCTGCATTCCTGTCCCATTAAACCCCAGGCCGGGGACCGGGCCAGGCAGGGATTGGCACCAGGTCAGGGCGGGGTTACCCATTGGGACCAACCTTGCAACACAGGCCGCTGGCCTGGGAGGGGGCGGGGGTGGCTGGGTGTGGGCCTGGCAGCCACACCTGGGCACCAGACTTGCTGTGTGACCTTGGGCGGGCCACCCACCCTCTCTGGGCCTGGGCCTGGTTTTCCCCTCCAGGTGACAGCTCCTCTCCCCTGGCTTCCTCCTGGGCCCGCCCCCACACACTCCCGTGTCGCACAGTAGGTGGGGAGGGGCTTAATTCCTGCAGTAACGTTCAGAGATTAAGTTCCAAGCCCCCCCCCCCCGTGCACAGGAGAGGGTCAACAAACAGCCCCATTGGGCCTCTGGGGACTGGTGCTGGCACACAGTAGGTCCTCAGGCAGAATTTGCCGAGTGGGTGAGAGTGGGACCCTGGGCCTAGAGCAGCTGCAGTCCCCTTGCCGCTGTCGTGACCTCTGAGGAGACCGGGGCACAGAGACCCTGCGTTTTGCCCAGAGTCCTACTGCTTGGAAGTGGAAGAGCCAGGGTGGGCCCAGCTGCTCTGTGTGGCACATAGTAGGTGTTAGAGTTCCCTTTGGTTTCCTGTCATTCTCTTCTGCGGGTGAGGGGTGGAGAGGCCTTGACCCCTCACTAAGCTGTCCCCAGCACCCCCCCCACAGGAATCCTCCAGGAAGACGTCACATGGCCATTAACCTGCCCACCCTGGGCAGTCCGCCCCCTCTCCTTCCTGAGGGGTGGGGGAGAAGGAGGAGGTCCGCCCCAGCCCTCACTTTGCACCCTTGACCTTGGGAAGCCTGGTAGGTGCAGCCTCCTCTCCCTGTCCCTCTCCCAGGTGCCCACCTCTGGGCCTGGGCCTCTGCTGTCCCCCATGCTTGGGACGCCCTTCCCACAGTCCTGGGGTCCTTCCTGGTGGCACCTGCCCCTCCTGGGACCAGGGGAATGAACCTCTGACCTCACCCTGGGGCCCTAGCCGTTGCGTGGCAGCGGCTCGGGTCTGCTAGTCTGAGTCCCAGCCCAGCCGCTGGTCTGCTGTGTCGCCTTGCCCGGGTCTCCTCACTGCTCTGAGCCTCTCTTCGTCTGTAAAGCCCAGGGTTACTGCGGGAAGGATGAAGTCAAGGTGCCTGGTTAGTGCCTGAATTAGTTCCTGAAATGCCCAGGGCACAGAGGAGGCCCCAGAAGGGCCGAAACAGGCCCGGGTTCTGCCGCCCTGGAAGAAGTGCGGCAAGTGACCCTGGGTTAGATGGGAGGTGGGACTGGGGAGCCTGGTGGCAAGGTGGGCGGGGCTGGGTGTGGGCTTTCTCCGGCGCCTGCCTCTGTGGTCTTCGGTTCATCCGGTTTGCTGCGCCCCTACTGTGTGCCCGCGGCGGTGGCGGGAGGGGGGTGGGCGGGGAGCATAGAGAGAAGGGGTGCCCCACCTCTAGCCCGGGAGGAGCCTGCTGAGGCCTGCCCCTCTGCCGCCGAGTCAGCACCCAGCGCCCCGGAAATCCCACAGAGGCGAGCGCGGGGGCGGAGCTCTGATGAAAGATGGGCCTGGTGGGTGTGGGCCTGAGCTCAGGGGACCCCCCCCAACCTCCCTGCCTGGCCGGCATGGGGGTGGGGCTTCCCGGAGGAGAGGAGTTTCATTGGATTGTCATTGCCAAGGAAACCGCCTGGTGTGGGGGCACCTACTAGGCGTCAGGTGTGAGCCGGGCCTGTTGGAGTGCAGGAAGCCGTGAGGCTCTCCCGGGAGAAGACGCAGGGCTCAGTGGGTGTGGAGCAGACGCGGCTCTTTGCTGCCAGGAGCCCACCTGACCCAGTGAGGGCCTCAGCTGCCTCCCCTCTCCTGGCTTACACCGTCTTCTAACTCTTTCTTAGAGGGAGGGCCCCAGGAGGCCTGGGTGGGGGCCATGGCCCAGGGTGTGGCGGGCAGGTGGCCTGTGTTCCTGGAGAGAGGGTGTGGGCCAGGTGTCTGCAAAGCCAGTTTAGTTTCCAGGGTGAGGGACGAGGTGACGGCTTGTTGGGCTGGTGGCGGGAGCAGGGACGTGGGAGGCCAGACCCAGAGGGTTAGGGTCGCCAGGCGCCCCAGGCTAGGGGTACAGGTGTGTCTGGGCTCTTGTGTTCTCCTGTCAGTGGGAGTCATGCTGCTCTCACGGGGCAGGGGAGGGTTCTTTGGCCTGTATCCATCCTCCCAGGCCAGGCCCTCTGGAGGACCTCTTATGGTTACGTGGGCAAAGAGATGCTCTCGGACCCAGCGCAGACCCCAGGACTTGGCCTGGTGCCCCACACCAGTTCCGAGGCCCAGGCTTGCTCCTTCTCAGCCGGGTGATTTCCAGCAAATGAGAACCTGGGCCTCCTCACCCTTGAAGTAGGGCTGTGTGGGCCCCCTTGCCCTGCGGGCTCAGTGCCCGTGGGAAGGTGGGGGCGGAGTGGCCGGGGAAGGGGGGCCGGTGAATCATCCGAACCATCTCAGGGCCCGACCTCGAGGCCCCCAGAGACACCTCAGGGTCCGAGGGGACGCTGGGGCACCACGGTGGGGGGGACAGATCAGCCAGGGTGGCCATCTTGAGGCGGATCAGAAGGGGGTGAGGACGGCCAAGGCCAGTCTGATCCGGAGCCCATCTGCCTGCTTGCTCCCGGGGGCCTGGGGCCAGACAGCAGATGGTGGCAGGGGGTGGAAGCCACCATGGGGGCTCCTCCGAGGCTTCCCGGGGCTGAGCCTCTCAGAAGGGGTCAGCCCCCCATCTTCCTGCTCCCAGCAGCCACTTGTCAGCCTCCCCCCCCCTGCCAACGGGCTGGCGGAACTGAGGGGGGAACCAAGCAGCTGGTGCGGTCAGCAGGAAAGAGGGCGGGCCGCAGAGAGAGGCATCCTGGGAAGTGTAGTTTGTGCCTGTGTGGCCACACAAAGGCCTCTGTGTCGGCCCCAAGGCCTGGACCCCGTCCCCAGGGCGGCCCAGGCTTGGGACCATTCCACCGCAGCCTTGGGGCCGGCCCCACCGACCCTGGGCTCCGTGGCCCGCCAGGCTGGCCCCTCGAGGAGGGAGAGATCTGGGTTCGAGCCGCGCTGGGCTGCTTGGAGCTGGGGGCTGGCGCTCCGGAGGTCCTGAGGAGGCTGAGGAAGGCACAGCTGCGTCCTTCTCCTGGGAGACGTCTGGGGGGCTCTGTCCCGGGAGCCGACTGGCCAGAGGACTGTGGGTTGTGTTGGGTGGCTCAGGGCAGCTGGGGGCTCCCCAGAGAGGGCGGAGGGCTGAGGACAGGAGCCAGAGGGTTGCACAAGCGCCCGAGTGGTTGGATGAGTCACAGCCCAGGGGAAGGCGGAAAAAAGGAGTGGGGAAGAGGGGCAGGACGGACTGAGTGCCGCCCCCGCCGTGGCCAGCTCTTCCAGAGCCCTCTGTCCATTTAACGGATGGGGAGACTGAGTCCCAGGCCGAACAGCAGTGGCCAGGGTGGCCAAGAGTTTGGGGGGGCTGGGTGGGCCTGATGTGGACAGGAAGCCCCCAGCCCCCTGCTCCGCCTCTGCGGGGTTCATCCGTGGCAGGCAGGGGGAAGTGTCCCAGGGCCAGACTGCTCCATGGGGGCTCCCCGGGCCACCGGGGTTTGTTGTGACGTCCCTGGCTCTGCGCCCCCGGGGCACGCCTACAGCCTGGTGACCCCAGCCTGGTCTCTGGGTCTCAGCCTCTTCTTTCCCTGACTCAGAGCCCCCCAAGTGAACTGGGCCTCACTGGGAGGTGGGAGGGAGGGTCCGGGAGGCCAAGAGGCCAGGCAGACATGGACCCTCGGGTCATGCACCCTAGGTTTGAGCTGGGGTGCAGCTGTGGGGCCGTGGGCACTGGTCTCCTCCCCGAGGCCTGGTTTCTTACATCCCTGGCAGAGATGGTGCTGCCCCGGGGGGATGGCTAGGGGCTCGAGTGTGCTGGCACCTGGTGGGTGGCTTCTTGTGTCACTGCCTCCTAGAGAGGCTGGGGGCAGGGGCAGAAGCCAGTGCTCAGCTTCATGGGGAAGCAAGTCCCGGGAGGCATTTGTTGGGCACCTACTGTGTGCTCTCGTCCCACCGCAGATCACCTCTTGGATGGGTCGTCTGGTGGGCCCTCTAGTGGAGGACAGGGCACCAGGGTCCGCCCCCTGAATCATCCAGTGTGGGTTTTGCCGATGTCATCTCACCTTGATGGTGCTGAACCGCAACCCCCCCACCCCTCCCCCGCCTTGGGCAACTGAGGCTGGGGGGCAGGGCGGGCTGCTCCTTTCCCAGGGTCCCCAGCTGGCACCCTCACGAGCACCCCTCCCTCCCTGGCGCTGTAGGTCTCGGCGCGGAAGATGGCCGGCGGCGTGGACGGCCCCATCGGGATCCCGTTCCCTGACCACAGCAGCGACATCCTGAGTGGGCTCAACGAGCAGCGGACGCAGGGCCTGCTGTGCGACGTGGTGATCCTGGTGGAGGGCCGGGAGTTCCCCACGCACCGCTCGGTGCTGGCGGCCTGCAGCCAGTACTTCAAGAAGCTGTTCACGTCGGGCGCCGTGGTGGACCAGCAGAACGTGTACGAGATCGACTTCGTCAGCGCCGAGGCGCTCACGGCCCTCATGGACTTCGCCTACACGGCCACGCTCACCGTCAGCACGGCCAACGTGGGCGACATCCTCAGTGCCGCCCGCCTGCTCGAGATCCCCGCCGTGAGCCACGTCTGCGCTGACCTCCTCGACCGGCAGATCCTGGCGGCCGACGCAGGCGCCGACACCGGGCAGCTTGACCTCGTCGATCAGACCGACCAGCGGAACCTGCTCCGGGCCAAGGAGTACCTCGAGTTCTTCCAGAGCAACCCCATGAACAGCCTGCCCCCCTCCGCCGCCGCCGCCGCCGCCGCCTTCCCCTGGTCTGCCTTCGGCGCGTCCGATGACGACCTGGATGCCACCAAGGAGGCCGTGGCCGCGGCCGTGGCCGCCGTGGCCGCTGGCGACTGCAACGGCTTGGACTTCTACGGGCCGGGACCGCCGGGCGATCGGCCCTCAGCCGGGGACGGGGATGAGGGCGACAGCAACCCAGGTCTGTGGCCCGAGCGGGACGAGGATGCCCCCACCGGGGGTCTCTTCCCACCCCCCGTGGCCCCGCCGGCCACCACCACGCAGAACGGCCACTACGGCCGGGGTGGGGAGGAGGAGGCGGCCTCGCTGTCGGAGGCAGCCCCCGAGCCGGGCGACTCTCCGGGCTTCCTGTCAGGTGCGGCCGAGGATGGGGACGGGGACGGGCCCGAAGCGGATGGGCTGGCGGCCAGCACGCTGCTGCAGCAGATGATGTCATCGGTGGGCCGGGCGGGGGCGGCGGCGGCGGGGGACAGTGACGACGAGTCGCGGGCGGACGACAAGGGCGTCGTGGACTACTACCTGAAGTACTTCAGTGGCGCCCACGACGGGGATGTTTACCCGGCTTGGTCGCAGAAGGTGGAAAAGAAGATCCGGGCCAAGGCCTTCCAGAAGTGCCCCATCTGCGAGAAGGTCATCCAGGGCGCGGGCAAGCTGCCGCGGCACATCCGGACCCACACCGGGGAGAAGCCCTACGAGTGCAACATCTGCAAGGTCCGCTTCACCAGGTGAGCCAGCCGTGGGGGCGTGGCCGGGGGCGGGGTTGCTGTGGGGGCGTGGCCAGGGGGTGTTGCGAGGGCCCTTTGCCTCGACTGCAGGCACGTGTAGAGCCCTCCCCGACGTGTGGACCCAGCCACGCACACGCACGCACGCACGCATGCACACAGCGCGGGCGCACGCAGGGGTGGCGCGGTCCTGCCTGGAAGGGCACTACTTCCGCTTTTGGGCACCTGTCTCCCCTACGGCCCTCGGGGAACAGCCTTCGGGTGCAGGGGGAGCTTGGGTGCTCACCACGGGGAGTGTGCGGGCGCTGGGGCTGAACCACAGGAGGCTCAAGGGGAAGGCACAGGGAGTCGCTCTTCTTCTTTCCCAGGGGTGGTTCTTCTCCGCTGTGCTGGAGGCGGATGTTTGCCTTGGGAGGGGGTGGCTGCCCCATAGGGCATGGGGAGCCGTGTTATCTCCTAGAGTCTCCTGGGAGTCCTGGGGGCCTCACTGTCCTTGGCCAACATTTATGGCACACCTGCCGGTTGCTGGGCTCGGTCCTAGGCGTTGGGGACCCAGGAGTGCAGAGAAACGCTAGAGGCCCTGTGTGGGCGAGGGGGCGCATCTGAGACGAAACCACAGAATTGGTAACGTGAGTTGGCAGAGCTACAGAGAACAGAGTGGGGGGCGGCAGCTGTTTTAAACAGAGCCAATATCCCAAGGAGGCAAGGGAAGGGAACATGAACAGCCAGTGCAAAGGTCCTCAGGCCAGTGGGCTTGGGGGTTGCAGCTACCTGTGGAGGGAAATGGGCCTACGAGCCACTGGGCTTGGTCCCCAGGCAGGGGGAGTCCAAGGCCAGGCTAGGGGAATTTGTGATTGGATCTTAAGAGTCCAGAGCTGGCTGGTTGGTCCTTGTGGACCAGCCTAGTGGGGGTGGGGGGCTGGCGTGCAGGGGCCTGGCGAGGCTGGGTGACTCAGCATCACCCCCTACCCCCACCCGCCCTGGGGTTCCCCCAGCCACGCCCACCCAGGTTAAAGAAAGAGGCCATTGTCCCAGCTTCCCGGCCCTGCCCCATGGGGACAGGACAGAGGGGCTGACCCCTGGCCCCCTCCCCAGCAGGCCAGGAGAAGAGGGTGTGGCCCGGACTGCAGGGCCCGGCATCCCCGGCGAGGGGCCAAGGGTGCTAGGTGGGAGGGAGGCAGTCTAGTTGGTGGCCCAGCTCCCACCCCTTTGGTGAGCTTGGGGTGCTCAGAGTCTTGGGGCCTCCCTCTTTCTCCAGACAAGAGTCCTAAGGCGTCTATGGGCCCTGCCCTCAGGGGTCTCTGGGCCCAGGAGCAGCCTGATAGACGCCCAGCAAGCCAGGGTCTGGAGAAGTGACCAGGCTGAGCAGAGGCCTGGAGCACCCCCGCCCCACTCCCCTAGCTCCCCTGACCACAGGCCTGACACAGTTTCATTCTGACCTGCTGTGCTTGTGGTTACCCCACCCTGACTCGGGCTGATCCTGTTTGTCGTTCAGGGAAGCTGAGGCAGGGAGAAGGTTCCTGGCTGTGCCTCTAACCCCATGTGCCCACCTGGCTCCTCTTTGCCCCCAACCCAGGGCCCCAGCCCCCACGCCTTCCTCCAGGCCAGGGAGCCCAGGGGCCCCTCTGAGTCACACTAGAGAGTTGAGTAAGCGGGGCCTGTGGCGGCCGGGGCTATAATTACCCGGACCAGGGCCGGGGGTGACGAAACAGGCTGCTTCCACCCCCACCCCACCACTGTGCGGCCCCTGACCTGCTGTGCAACTTGGGGCAGGCCGCTTTCCCTCTCTGGGCCTCACGTGGGGAAATCTCTGTGCACTGCTTGTATAGTCCGAGGGGCTGCTGTCCCGTCTGGACCTGGCCCCATGCTAGGATCCAGACAAGGCAGCTGGAGGACTATGTTAGCAGACTTTGGGCGGGGTGAGAGGAAGGGAACTTGGCGGCTGCATCCCCTCACTGCTGACAGACCCGGTCAGCCCAGAGAACGATGAGTTCAATGTGGTCTGAGTTCCATTGATGCATCTAGAAGTAATAAAGCTGGAGAATAGGCAGGAGTGTGGTTGCAGAGGGCCAGGCCTTGACCCTCAGAGCAGTAAAGAGTCAAGAAAGGGTTAGATGAAGTAAGGACACCCGCTCTGTGGGTGATTCCAGAGGGAGGGACCTGGGGCTAGAGGAACCTCAGGGAGACCAACTCTCTGACTGAGGGTTGGGAAAGCCTTCCTGGAGGAGGAGGGCATTTGAGATGGGGCTTTGAAGGATGAATAGGAGTTTGTCACTCCTGGCTCTGACCAGGCTGGCCACATGTGAAAAGTGAGAGACCCAGTGTATCTCAGACGTTGCTGGCCAGGGCTCCCGAGACCCAGGTCTCTGCCCCTGCCGAATGGGTCCAAGCAGGAGCCCTGTCCTGTGACTGCAGACCAACACAGTGCGGGAAAGCATCATGTGAGTCACTGCTGTGATTTTACATTTTCTGATAGCCACATTTTAAAAAAGTTAAAGGAACGGGTGAAAGTAATTTGAATCATACTTTGTATCCTTTTTTTAAATACATCTAACATGTAACCAGTGTGCCAAATCATAAATGAGTTTTTTTTTACATTACTTTAACCAGATAAAGTCTTCAGAATCTGGGATGCATTTTGCACTTCTAGCACCTCTCAGTTCGGACAGGACATGTTTTCAAGGGCTCAGGGGTCACGTGCGAGCAGTGGCTGCTGGGGGACAGAGCCGCAGCTGGCCTGAAGTTGCTTAAGGCTGACACGCTGACCAGCTTTGGGGGCCGAAAGGCCCCAGGTTGAGCTAGGTCCATGCTGTTCCCTGTGGGGCAAGATGGGCAGGCAGAGATCCTGGAATCACCCCGATCCTGCTGTCTTGGGACTCATGGTCCAGTTAGGCAGACAGATGAGGAACAAGGAAACTGGCATGAGAGTCAGATGGTGGTGGTATGAGGGACATGGGGTGGGGTCGGCTGTAGGGGATGGAGGGGCCTCTTTGAGGAAGTGACATTTGAGCTGGAATTTAGATGTCAAGATCTGGGAAGAAAGTGCTCCAGGCATCAGGAAGAGCACATGCAAAGGTCCTGAGGTAGGCACGTGCTTAGCGTGTTGCTGTGACAGCCAGGAAGCCAGGGTGGCCGGAGCCAGCCAAGAGAAGCAGAGGTGCTGGGAGAGTTGATGGGGCCTAGGGGCCGTGGGGTGGAGACTCACGGCCCGGGGATGCAGGACTGCCGGTGTTAAAAACCAGGACAGCTGGCCCCCCGATCTGTTACCAAACACCCCGGCATTCTGCCTTGTGCCCTGCAGTATATTTCAGACCCTGGAATAGGGCCTGGTGCTCAGCAGGCACTCCATAAAAGTTCTGGGGGGAAGCCCCTTATATTCCTCCTGTGGCTGAGAAAAGGGGTTCAGAGAGGTTCAGCCATTGTCATGAGGCCACATAGCGAGTGGGGTCCGAGGCCCGTTTCCATTCCTCTGGGCCCTCGGCTCCCTCCTCGCCCCAGAACGCCCAGCACTGCCCCTGCTCCAGCGCCGATGTCTCACGTCCCCAGCCAGGCCAGCGGGTGGGGGGCGGGCGGCAGGGGTGCCCCTAGGCGGTGCCCACTGACCCGTCGCCCCGTCCACAGGCAGGACAAGCTCAAGGTGCACATGAGGAAGCACACGGGCGAGAAGCCGTACCTGTGCCAGCAGTGCGGGGCGGCCTTTGCCCATAACTACGACCTGAAGAACCACATGCGCGTGCACACGGGCCTGCGTCCCTACCAGTGTGACAGCTGCTGCAAGACCTTCGTCCGCTCCGACCACCTGCACAGACACCTCAAGAAGGACGGCTGCAACGGCGTCCCCTCGCGCCGCGGCCGCAAGCCCCGCGTCCGGGGTGGGGGGCTCGGGGGGCCCGACCCCTCCCCGGGGGCCGCCGCCCCGCCTGGCGCCCCGGCCCCGCCCGGCTCCCCTGATGCCCGGCGCAACGGCCAGGAGAAGCACTTTAAGGACGAGGAGGAGGACGAGGAGGCGGCCAGCCCCGAGGGCCTGAGCAGGTTGAATGTAGCGGGTGCCGGCGCAGGGGGAGGCGACGGGGGCACCGGGCCCACCGCCGACGGCAGCTTTGCGGCCGGACTTGCCTGAAAACCAAAAAGAGAAAACAAAAACCCGAGAGAGAGAGAGAGAGAGAGACAGAGAGAGAGAGAGAGAGAGAGAGAAAGAGAAAATCACCCACCACCCCCCTAAAAAACACAAAAAAAGAAAATCTATCTATATACAGATATCTATATCTATATATATATATACAGATATATATATATGAAACGTCACAGAATCTAGGGTAGTGCTTTTCTCAGATTTTTCTTCTTCATGATGTTCTCTCCCTCCACGGGGACCCTCGCCCCCGCTCCGGCTCCCCATCCCCCCACCCCGTCGATGGGTTTCGGGGCTCACTTTGGGGTTTTTGTGGGACACAGATGCGGAGGCCCCCGGACGTCCCCCAGCACGGAGTCTGGGGTCCCATCTGAGGCCTGGTCAGGGCCTTAGGCCCCAGGTGGGGGTGAGGGTGGCCGTGAGGGGCTGGGGACGGAGGGGGGGTGGGCTTTTGTTTTTCTCCCCTTGCTGGTTTCTACAAGTCTTTCAGACAGGACCTTAAACGCTCTCTGTCCGCTGTGAGTGGACGTTAAAATGTACCCTGTCCCCACCCCCCACCCTCCTTCCTCAGGGCACTTACTAAGTGGGGGTCTCCCCGCCTCCGTCTCCCCAATGGCCTCCCCGCCTCCTGTTCCTGCCTGTGGTCCTCTGTGTCTCCTGGCCGCTGTGACACAAATCTATTTATTTCCAGGCCTGGAGAGAGGGGAGCCCCGGGGGGTGGGGGGGGGCGGGGGGCACCAGGGCGGCTCCCACGGGCTCCCGCTGCCTCCCTTCTCGGCACTTACACCCCGGCGGACCCCCACCCCCACCCCGGACCTCCGCTCAGGGCGCCCCCCTCCCCCCCGCCCCACCTGCACTCCCTGACCAGGCCGCCCAGACCCCACGAGACGACGTTTGGAGATTCGAAACTTTTTTGTCTTCACCCTCCCGCCCTTGCCCTCTCCCCAAGTTTTTAAAGCACTTTTTAGATTTTTTTTCTTTTCCTCCTTAAAAACAAAATTTATATATAGATATATATAGATATATATATATAAAATATACTTTCCTCAGAGGAGCAGGTAACAGTGTGGGGCAGACCAGCCCAGAGCAGAGGGAGCCCAGGGTCTCGTGGTGGCAGGGAGGAGGGGAGAGAGTCCAGAAGTTCCGGTGTCACAAAAGCAATAAAAACAAGATTTTACAAAATGAAAGGAAAAACAAAAAACAAAAAAAAACAAAAAACAAAAAAAAACCATAAAAAAAAAAGACAACCAACCACAAATAGAAGTCTCGGCACTTTGTAACAGAACGGGTACTACACTTTATCTTAATTCTTAATTTAAAAACATGTTTACAAGTCGCAACCAACTTCTATGAAAAGTCGAAAAGACAAAAAAAATAAAAAATAAAAGAGAGAGAGCGAGCGAGAGAGAGAGAGAGAGCGAGAGAGCAAAAAGAAAATTCCTAAAAGTCAATTTATTTTTGTACAAAATAATAAAAAAAAAAACCCACCACAGATGCAGAATCCACTTCTGTTCCCCGAGGTGAGGAGGGGGTCAGGAAGGCACGGGCCGGGGCTGAGGCCGTCTTCGTGCTTCGCCACGGGGACCTGTGCTGCAGGCAGGACCGTGGGGTTTTTGTGTTTCTGCCGTGTCCCCCACCCCCGGCCCCACCCCCCTTCTGTCCCTTTTTGGTTCTGATCTGGAGATGTCTCGTCACCCGCCAGCCATACGATGGCCAACCCTTGTCTGCGGGGACCCCTCCTTACTGACTCCCCAGCTCAGGGATGGGCCCGAGAGAGGGCTGGCCTTCCGACCAGCCAGAGCAGCCCAGCCCCCCCCAGCCCCCCTCCTCCCCCACCGGCCCCTGCCCTTGCCCCTCGCCCACTTCGGGGCTCCCCGCCCTCCAGCATGGCCGCCCTTCCTTGTGGCCACCAAGGAGCTGCCATCTTGGACATGCCATCCCCGTCGAGGTGGGTGACGGGGCCCCACCTCCAGGGCCTTACATCCCCCCCCAGGCACCCCTCTTTTTATTCAAAGGCACTGACTGTAATCTGGGGGCTGGCACCCGCCTCCCCCCAGTCCCTGGCTCCCCAAAGGCCCGGTACCGACCGAGCCACAGGCCACGGACAGGGGCCAGGGCTGGGGGGACCGTGTTGCCAGAGGCCAGGGCACCCTCACCCCAACACCCTCTCGCATATGCAATGCCTAGCGTGGGACCCTGTAAATAGACCCTCTGCCAAGCCGAGACCCTTACCCATCGAAGCCCAAGGTGAGGGGCCCCTGCCCCCCCCCCCCCAGCTGCTGGCCTATCTCCCCATGCCCCTTGGCTCTGTGACACAGACCCCCGTCTTCTCGTCTTCTTTTTCTTTCTTTCTTTTTTTTTTTTTTAAAGGGAAGCTTTTTAAGAAGGCAACTTTCATCATCGTTTCTACAGGATAGTTTTTGTGTCTCGCCCCCCCCAAGCCCATCAGCCCCCCCCAAATGTCTCAGGACTGCCCCCCACCCCGAGGGGGGTGGCAGGGAGCCCAGGGTGGCCTCACTCACACCCCCGTGTCACGGAGTGAGCTCTTTTGGAGAACCATCTGTGGAGGCCAAGCAGAGAGCTCGAGCACCCAGGCCAGGGACCCCCCCACCCCACCCCAGCCGAGAGGTTCCCTGAGGGAACAGCCCTCTCCCCCTCACCCTACCCGTATACCCCCCTTGCAATAAAACCAACTGAAAAATCAGCTGTCGTCCTGGCCAGTGGGGGCGACTGGACTTGGGGGATCGAGGCCTCTGGGACTATGGCGGTGGGGGCAAGGGCTGAACCCCCGCCGAGCACACTTTTAACAAACTTCCTCGGGAATTGCACTAAACCCCTGCCCCTAGCTCTGAGCTCAGCTTCTGACAGCCCTGCCCACCCATTCCGCCTTAACCCTCTCCTGCTGCCCGCCAGCCCGTCCTAGGGGCCGCAGGGTCTGCATGGGCCCAGCGCCGGGACCCCAGCCCCCCCAACTCTGCGCAATCACATACTGTATATAGACGTGGATCGATTTTATTTTTATTCTTTAAATTAAGGTCGTGATAAAGTGTTGCCAAAGATACTGCTGAATTCTCGCGTTTCAGGAAACAAACAAACAAAAAATTTGAGGGGGAACGTGCTGACTGGTCAGAAGGGACACAGCAAAACGTTTTTTTTGTTTGGTTGTTTGGGTTTTTTTTGTGTTTTCTTTTTTTGGGGTGTTTTTTTTTTTTTAACTGCCTGGTACAAAAAAAAAAAAAAAGAAAAACAAAGCGAAATTGTTATTTCCATCATCTTGGTGAAGTTGTGTGGCTGTGTGTTGTGCGCGCGTGTGTAAGAGTAAGGTCCTGGCCTGGGGCTCTGGGTGGGGGCGCTCCGGGGGGCACTCGGGGTGGGGGAGCCGGAGCCCCCCACCCCCAGCCATCCACCAGCCTATGGGACCTGGAGAGAGAGGTTAACACCCTTGCTACTGCTCCCTGCCTAGGCCCCCACCCCAACCCTGACCCTGCCTTCTGAGATTAAGGGAAAAAAAAAAAAAAAAAAAAGGAAAAAAAAAAAAAAAAAAAAGAGAAAAGAAAAAAACCTTAAAACCCAGTGAATGTAAAGTGCCGGAGCAGGCCCAGCCTGGCGCGGGTGTGGGCCTGCGCCCGGCCGGGCTCAGCAGGCCGTACCAAAGTCTGCCCCGTTGGGTGGCTTGCCCAGGAGACCCCATGCGGCCATCTCATCCCGTTCCGTTTGTACAGGGCTGTCCCTTTGCTTCCTTCCGGGGGGGGGAGGGGCGTCTCAGGTGGGAGGGGAGAGACCCCAGTCCCTTCCAGGGCCCTCTGGGGCGTCTGCACTACTGAGACCCAGTGATGGTGGCGGGAGTGCGGGGTCGGGGTGGGGGGGGGCAGTGGCGGATGTGTGGCACAGGGTGGCACCGAGGCAGGGGCTGGGGCCCGGGGAGCACCCCACCCCACCCCAGGACCGAGGCGGTCCAGGCAGCCGGGATTGTAGGAGGCCAGACAGTGAAAGGCAAAGCAGGACAAAAAAAATTTAAAACCAACAAAAAAAGCAAAAATCCTATTTTTTGAGAAAGAAAGATATTTATATTTGCAGTTTTATTTTAAAAAGTTATTTAAGCTGAGGAAGCAGCCTTCCTGGAGGGGCTGCTGGCACAGGACGGGTCAGGGCCTGGGGGCTCAGGGGCCCCGGGAGCCATAACCTCAGAGTTCAAACTAGCTCGCACTAAGTACATAGACTTACATGGGGGGTGGGCGGGCAGGGCCAGCAGATGGAGGGGGCCGGGGAGGCCCCCGTCCCGGAGTCGGAGCTGCCTGGAGGCCACGGCCAGGGGTCCGGATACCCCGGTTCCCCCCTGCCCCTCCCAGGCCCAGATACAAGGTGCCTTGGACTTTGGGGGGCTGGGGCTGGTGAATGGGGGGCAGGGCGGCGCCCGGGGACACAGAGCACAGAGCAGACATTCCATAGACTGTATCTGAGAGTCTTTATAAAGTGTGGGAGATTAAAAAAAAAAAAAATCAATTGATAAAAATGCACTTTTTGGGGGTGGGGGGGAGAAGCTTTAAAAGTAATAAAAAAACAAAAACAAAAAGACAAAAGATGAAAAACCAGACAAAAAAAGTCATTTTTCTTGTACATAAAAAAACCACTAAACGCAGCCTGTTACGAAAGCTGCCGCCTCATTTGCCTGATTTTGATGTTCTTTGTGTTTTGTTGGGTGGGGGCAGGGGGGATGACTGGGGGGCGGGGACGGAGTGCCTTGGGGGTCCCCATCACCGAGGGTCTGGCCCTCAAGCATCCACACCATGTTCAACCTGACCCTTCCTACTGCGCCTGGAAGCTGGCCTCTGGGCTCCCAGGCTGGGTGGGGATCCCCAGCATTGGCAGGCCTGGGGCCCCTACAGAGGAGGTGACCCACACGCCCCCAGCTTGGGCAGATGGCACCAGGAAGGGGCCCCGGGGGCGGGCAGGGAGAACTGGCCTGACAGGCTTCTTGGTCACCTCACCTCTAGCTCCTCGGTTTCTGGAGGCCGGGGGCGGGGCGTCTAGTTGGGG